TAAGCAACTTACCGAAATTGCTCTATATACTTCCGAGATACATGGTGGTGAAGTTGAAAAGTAAAAATCGAATTTTCCAGAATGTATGAACATTACAAAACGTATCACTTCAACAATTGGTACCCGAGGGTTTTTTGGAATGCGAAATCCGAATACGGACACCCTTTCAATGTAACCATTAGAGGGCGCTTCTCTACAACGCACTTCTCATGGTTTGATTTTTTTTTCATTGAGGAAATAAGTTTCTGAATATATTCAAGTGAGAACATATACAGGGTGTTTCAAAAAAACCTGACTTCCTTGCTAGGGTAGGTGAAACACTGCAAAATAAGTTGGGTTTGCTCAGTGAAGAAATGTCGTAACGGCATCCGTTTTCATGATACAAGGTGTTGAAAAAATGATTTTTTACACATTTTTCACGAATATGTTGAAACTACTGGCAACATTGTAATGAAATTTTGTATGAATGTTTCTTGAAATCTAACACATCGCATGAATTTGTTTTTATATCTGACTCTCATAGAGGGCGCTAGTTACACGGTTCGTACCGAGTAGTTTAGAACTTAACTTTTTTGAGGTTAGATTTTTCAATCCAAATATGAAATGAACTTGAACATCATTCAATTTTACACAAAAAGGTACTCTTGGTGAAACTCGATATTATATTCCGTTTTCGAAATATTTCGATTTGAAAATAATGGAGTAGTAATGATGCTGGTACAAAATGAATTTCTTTCCACGCCCTGTATGATGAATGTCAATTTATCATACACCCAAAAGAATTTTATTGAGTTCAATTACCAAATTATTTAGAATCAAAAACAATTAAATTATTCTTATGCTGATGTTATCGATGGAACAAAGAATCATAAGTAGAAAATCAAGAGATATTTGACTAGAAACATGAAATATTGAATCAGTTAGAGTAAGTGTTCAAAATGTCCTACGTTTCGACGAATTCACGATTCTATATTCTTTTCTTAAGAATGTATTATTCTTCTAAACAGTTGAGGATCAGCTGTTAGGTCATTTGAGTGATGTTCAATAATGTCTTACAACTCTTGACGTGATTTTACCTATGTAGCATAGACTTTCTGCTCAAGATACAACAAAACTGTGTAATCCATGTTCTTAGTAAAATCTGTTTCGATGTTATTCTTGTGATTCGTTGTTAAACCAATAAGTTTAGCATCAGAAATGTATTGTTGTTTTTGGTTTTCAATAAATAGGTGATAATTTTTCATAATACTCACTCTAATACATAGCTTTATACCAGCAACAGTTATCACTTCATCATTTTCAAATCGAAATATTCCGAAAACGGAACACAGTATCGAGTTTTAACAGGAGTACCTTTATGGTGTGGAATTGAATGATGTTCAAGTTCACATCAAATTTGAATTGAAAAACCTAACCTCAAAAAAGTTATGTTCAAAACTACTCGGTACGAACCGTGTAACTAGCGCCCTCTATGAGTGTCAGGTATAAAAACAAATGCATGCAATGTATCAGATTCCAAGAAACATCCATACAAAATTTCATCACAATGTTGCCAGTAGTTTCGATATAATCTTGAAAAATGTGTAAAAAAATAATTTTTTCAACACCTTGTATCTTGATAAGGGATGCTGTTACGAATTTTTTTTACTGAATAAACCCAACTTATTTTGCAGTGTTCTACCTACCCTAGTAAGGGGGTCAGGTTTTTTTGAAACACCCTGTATATGAAAATTGATCAATTAGGGTTCCAAACCATGGAGAACAATATTCTGAGGTCGGTTTTCCTGGTAACAAATTTCCCAATATGATTTCATAAAAAATTGACTCCTTTTTATTATAATAAAAATGGACGGACTGCCTAAAATGATCTTCGTCTCTGCAAAATTGATTGATTCATACCGGTACCGGAGGGGCCGTTTGAAATGAGACACGCTGTATACATTTCAGATAATCAACAAAATGTTTCACTGGCAAGCGTGTATACGAGGTGTTGCGGTATAGTCGAACGAGTGCTCTAGCTTGCTGGTGACACATACAAGGTCGCACGAAAGATTCCAATCATTACCATGGACGTTTCCTGCTGTCGTACTGTACAGGGTGTTCGATAAATCGATGGCAGTGCGACATTTTCGCTGCTCGTTGTGTCCAAAGCTGAAGTGGCGGAAGCTGATTGGTCCATGCAAATTGTGATATGAGGTGGAAACTGCAAGATATCGAAACGTTGGCTATTGGAGGTTTTTCGCATTATGAACAATCGATGGATTTTCAGTGAAGAATGTACTGCGATCTAGTTGAGCTAAGAGAACTAGGGAAACATACATAAACATTACAGGGTGATTAATTTAGAATCGGCAATCTCTGGACTGCATATACCGGGTGGCTACGGAAGTATTGCCTACGGAATATCTCAGTTATTGTATGAAGTAGGTTTGTGAAATTTGGAGCGTCGATATAATGACATAAGAGCTAGAATTTGAGCACATTGACATGTCGGAGTTAACATCCGGTCTGACCGGAAGTAACATCAACTTTCCTATTTTGAATGGAAACCCTATTTTTTTTCTTTTCTCTTTATTCAGCATTCAATTCCCTTTCTAATGACATATCACAAGTTGGTATCTAACCAGAAACTAGATCAGAAAAAAAATATTATTGAAATTCACCGAGTAGGCCGTGGAAGCAAAATGAAAGCCAAAAAATGACTTTCTATTATATCATTAGAAAGGAATGGTTATGCTGAATAGTACAGGCAAGAAAAAGTTGTATGTTCCTATTTAAGTTATGGACCTACAGAGCATTGTTTTTTCCCAATTTTTCCAATATTTTTTTTGGCGTTTTTTTATAACGCCGACGAATGTAAATAAAATATCACAGTAGTAGCAACTGTTATCAAGTGACGTATGGTTTCCATAGCCAGTTTTTCAATTTTTGGCTTTCATTTTGTTTCCACGGCCGACTCGGTGAATTTCAATAATAATTTTTTTCTGCTTAGTTTCTGGTTGGATACCAACTTGTGATATGTCATGAGAAAGGGAATTGAATGCTGAATAAAGCGAAAATAAAAAAAATAGGGTTTCCATTTAAAATAAGAAAGTTGATGTTACTTCCGGTCAGACCGGAAGTTAACTTCGACATGTCAATGTGCTCAAATTCTAGCTCTTACGTCATTATATCGACGATCCAAATTTCACAAACCTACTTCATACAATAACTAGGCAATACTTCCGTAGCCACCCGGTATAGTGAACACCAAAATATGAAGATTTACCCTATACACGCCTATACATATGTTCAACTTTTTGAATTTTTCAGTAAGTTTCAACAACATGAATAGAAATTTTGTACATTCAGGTTTTCTTACATGAGTAATACGAATTTGTAACTCATTTTATGATTGATTGATTATATCATCATGATAGTTGATGAAATAAGCTGAAAGTCTGTTCAATTTTCCATGAAAAATTTACTCTTTTTTAAATTGTCTAGCTCTAACGAATTTTGCGTTATTCGCTATCAAAAACATCTGTGTTTAACTTTTGAAATTGTTATTTATTCAAATTAAAAAGTTAGCGATGTGACACTGAAAAACTATACTAATCAATGATGGCAATCACTCACAACACAAACAAAATGTAAAAATTCGACCAAGTTTTTAGAGAGTGAAGAAAAAATGTTCCTTTTGAACACCCTGTATCTCCTAAACCAGCATCAATTTTATAAGGCATGCTGAGCTAACTTTTCATATTTTGGTGTTTACTATCTGTAGTTCAGAGATTGCCAACTCTTAATGAATCATCACCCTGTATAGGTTCTATATAGGTACAGGTTGCGTTTTATTTGAATTTTTGGAAAATTCATTAGTCAATTGAAAAAAATTCGAAAATAAGTACTAATAATAATTCCTAATCGTATACGTGATTGAGTATTTACTTTTCATTTCGTTTGTAGTTCACATGAACATAATATGCCCTAAAACCTCTTAACTTTCGAGCTATAGGGTGTTAAAATTTTATTTTCTCTTTATTATTGATTAAAGAAGCTTTCACAACTTAATCGATCAAATGTCATCATTTAAAATACAAAATGAGGCAATAGCCTACTAATTCAAAATAATTCAGCTCGTAATTTTGTTATGCCACAAATGTATGAAAATGGTTTTTAATTTTTGTACGCAAGAATGGTGCGTCATACGAAAAAAAATCAAATTATCAAATTGTTGCAAAATGAATGAGGATTCCAAAAATTATTTTTATTTTCAAAAACGCAAGGGCGTACAATATATATTTTTCTAAATCTTCAGTATACTTACATCCCATACGGACGCCACTGGTAGAATTATCAGGAAATCTCCTGCATCAAAAAATGTCTATTGGTGGATATAGTAGGTGCATGTCAAATTTTATGGAAATATCTAGAACAGTATTGATTTTAACACCCTATAGCTCGAAAGTCAAGAGGTTTAGGGCAATATGGTCATATGAACTTCTCTTCTGAAAATGAGCTAAGGAACCATATTTTTAGCCATCAATTGAATTACTTCCTGTATACTATAAGGAATTTTATCTCAAGAGAGAAAGATTTTATTCCCGTAATCATCTTTAGATGTTTTTACTTTTTCCAGAAAGATTGAAAAACCATAAACATTTATTCTATAGAAATAGAGAAAAAAATTACCTGTATTGAAATATTGTGCGCAATATAAGAAGATGCAAAAAATTGAATAAATTCAATGAAATCTACTATCATTTATTTCCAAAACGTTTTTCTATTTCTACATTATTCAAACGTATATTTTTGATGTAATTAAATTCTTATTTCTAGTAAAAAACTCAAAAATATTCTTATTCCAGCAACAAAATCTAATGCTAAAGCAGAAAAGTCGAAAAACTTCCAAGCCATTTCAAAAACTCAGCAAAAAAACTGGCAATAATAGAAAAAAAGTGCCTCATAAATATGTACAACTTGCATGGATTCGCTCAACAGCTTCCTTGCACACTTACACATCTCGACGACGTTGCCACATAGCCCCTTTCGACGCAACAAGTGTGCGACGTTGCCACATCTCGCTCGACGCAACAAGCATGCGGCATTGCCACGTCACCGCTATCGCCGCAACAAGTGTGCGAAGTTGCCACATCCCCTCTTTCGACGCAACAAGTGTGGCAAGTGTGCGACGTTGCCACGTCGCCTCTCTCGACGTGACAAGTGTACGACGTTGCCGGTTCGTCGCTTGAGAAGTCGTCGAAGTCGGCCGAAGTCAACCGACACATCTCCGACTGCTAGGTGCCTTCTGCTCTGTGCAACAGCGCAAATTGGCATCCGCAGTCGCGGGAATCACGAGTCCTCCTCGGATAGCGAAAGCATTGATCCCACACGCAGCACCCCTGACAACACATATATAGGGTTCAGATCGGGTCGGTGCGCTGGCCGCGAGGGAGATTTTCGGGTGAAGGGGAGCGTTACACGTCGAGGGATGTTGAAGTATGATTCCTTAGATGTTTCTGGTCGAGCCTGCCCTATTTTAACTACCATATGAGGTGCAGAAATGAAAAAACGATTGGTTTCCTGCTTTTGCGAAACTTCACCAATACTATATTTTTTAAATACTGTCTGTAGGTTAATCGAAAAGATTCATTATTCCTGAATTTTTTGGGATTTGTTGTCCTCGTTTCTATGAAATAGAAATTAGTATTATTTCAATATACGTGTATTTAGGGCAATTCTGAAGATTTGTCCCAAAATGTCGCACTGCGTTTGAAGATGTTCCTATCAGAGAACTGAACATATCCTTGCTGAAGATGAACAACATTTGACAGAGTGGAATAATATTCAAATCATGGGAAATGAAGATAACAACCAACAACCAAAAGAGAAAAATCAAGGAATCTGCTTGCATTCTTCTGAACGGAGACAATAGCATTGCTTCATGTTTCGTTTATATAGATAGAACATGGTATTCACTATTGAAATCTCAACATGAAAATGGTGAATTGAAGATTAATTAATGGATTCATTCTGTAACTCATTTGTTTGCTAACCACCATTTTTGTCAGTGAGAAGTGTCAAAACATGAAGACAATTTGTGGGATTCGTTCCCGAAACGTCCAAAGATGGGTGAAAATTTGGTATTTTCTCTATATACCTATATTTCTCTTCTCCAAACCTTTTCCAAAGTGTCACTGACAATAAGCGAACGAATTTTTGTTTTATGCTCTCTGATAAAAACATTTTTAAACGCAGTGACATTTTGGGGCAAATCATCTGATTTGTCCTCACTACCTGTATAATATAATATATATAATGATATTAATAATACTCATATTTTTATTTCATATACAAACGAGAAGAGAAAATCCCGAAAAATCAGGAGTAATGATATTTTTTGTCATCTCAATCAAAAGATTCAGAAGATGAATAAATTGAATGTCTATAGTTATTGAACTGGTCTGATTCATCTATACAAGCCAATATGAATAATGCAAGAAATGAATTCTCATGTGAGCATACAATACACGGGGAACTTGAAAAATTCAGCACATTTAATTTTTTTCACATTTCAATACCATGAAATTTGTCTATTCCTGGAAAACTCATAGAGGAAATTAAAATTGGACATTTTCATGGCTCACTATGTAGAAGAAGGGAAAGATGTAATGCGCCAAATATTTTTCTCTACCGGTTTTTACAAAGCGGTTCCACCACAGTGTTCCACCTTTTCCGTATTTCTTGCTGTCCGCAAGACATAAAAACAGATTAACTTTTCCCATAAAAAACCTGATGGGTTCTGGAAATAACTGTAAGTTTGAACATTCTTTCTGCAATAAAGAAGGGATCATAGACAGCGGCGGATTTCTTAGTGCTTAGGGCCCCGACTCTTGCAGGTGCCTCGCAGGGGCCCTGTGATTGCATCATTATTTTCACATAAAAATTGTTTGTATGAATGGAATTATAACAAACATTGATGTTTCCTTTGAGCAATACTTGTTTTATATAGCGGCCGCAGGCCGCAGCAACAATGCAAGTTGCTCAAAAATAAACCTCAGAGCTTTGCCACAAGATGGCTACAACATGACTACAACTTCATGTTATACCCTGCGTCTTCGAAATGGGTGATATACCCGAAGCGTAGAGTTGTCCCAGTTGTCAGCAGACCGAGACCGGCTGATGAGACCTGGTGGGTCGAAACAGTACTCTCTCGCTCCTGCTGACAATTGGGGCATCTCTGTTCATCATAGATCTCTTAGTTATAAGATTTAGCAGTTGAATAGGTGGTGGAAAAATTCCACTCAAGTATGTCAGGTAGTGCCATCTGTCAGCAGAGTGATTTATAGACGTATAGACGTAAGGGTCTGTACGTGTGACTATAGATGGCAGCGCCATACATTGTATATCTCGCTGTATCCTACCTCAGAGCTTTGCCACAAGATGGCTACAACATGACTACAACTTCATGTTATACCCTGCGTCTTGCTCAAAAATGTTAAACATAGTAAGGGAATGATGGATGTATTTCCTAACTGAATAAATATACAAATCTCAAAGTCATTTCCACAGGAGGTCATAAATACTTTCCTGGCTATATAAGACGCAGAACACTGAATAACATTCTCCCGAAATCTATGCAACGATTCGTGTAGACGAATATTATTCGAAAATTTGGTTAGAAAAAAAAATAGAAGAAGAGATGAGGCAGAAAGGGCCGCAGGGGCCCTCAGAATTTTTATGCTTAGGGCCCCAGAAGTTGTAGATCCGCCACTGATCATAGATGAGCAGATCACACAGAATCCAATATCTACCCAGATGGTCGTAAAGGTGGAAATTCCCCGAATTTTCACCGAATTTCCATAAACATTATCGAGCGCTAGTGTGCTGCTACTCTTCCAATAAAAAATATCGCAGCCACTTATTTCAACTTTTAACTGTACGGCCTAGATGGAAATGTTGCGATAAATTTTCAGTATTTTCATAGGGAGTCGTGCCACTCGTGCTTCTTATCCAAATGGTGGATGAGTCATGGAAACCATCTATCCTTCTCAAAGTGGTCCAAAATGTTTTCAAAGAAAAAACAGTATAACACAAAGTCGGTCGACCACAAATCAAGTTTGTGACTAGTTTCGGCACAATGGCCATCTGCAGACACATAAAATACCTGTAAAGATTATGAAATTACAAATAGACATTGAGGAAAAAAGTTATCTAAGAAGACATTTGGACAGGCAATTTAGTATATTGTTTTTTAAATCGACTAAACAGCCAAAAGAACAAACCAAGAATGCAATTCAACATCGGTAGAAGCAGGAAATGAAATTTGAAATTATAAATCAAAACTCACTCAACGAGAGTTTCATCATCAATAGTGGCCATTTGACAACGGCCAGAAGAAAAGAATAGGTGAAATATCTGAAAGTGCAGAATGACATGACAGGATGAAATGACAGAATACATGACAGAAAGACTGCTTGACAAGTGATACAAACCAAATGGGAGTACTGAACTGTATCACCTAACTAATATTGAATAATGAAAAATTATTGTAGCTAGTATGATTACAGGTCAGAATTAAAAAAATATATGAATTGTAAAATGTTAAAATTAGAAGATGAGGAACACGTCAAATGGTAGATAGTGAAATCAAGACGAGTTGATGTAGGCATGGTGTTTCCTATCTTCTCTGGCAAAATGAGAAGAACAGTTTTTTTCTAATGTCGTTTATAGTTCCGTGTGATGGTCGTAGAAGGCGACTAAAAGGACGCCAATAGGTGGAAGATGGCTAACACCATAATATGAAAGGCGCTGTGAAATGGGTTATACCCATGTTTCAATAGCTGGTTTATGATTCCGGTCGACTGAACCTAATCCAATTCCCTTTTCTTTCCACGCCAACCTTATTCCTCTTCAATACAGAAAAAACTATGATGAGTTCGCCTCGAGTCAAATTATCCGGAAGTAAAAATGTATATCTATGCTCGGTATTACCATCAGCAATACTCTCTCATGGGAAAATCATGTTCGATCCATCGCAAAAGTTGCTTCACAAAAACTTCCTTTCTAGTTCCGTGCGAAAATCTACTTTACACCACAACAGCTTTTCATGATCTACAAAGAACAGATCCGGACAGTTTTAAGAATACTGTTCTCATGTATGGGGTTCAGAAGAGCCTGGTGGGTGATGCCACACTCACCAACTCCGGCGACCGTCCACTCTTCTATATATAGATACTTCCACGGGAAATATTCCTCGGAAATCTCTGCTATAATTCCATCGCCAGTCAGACGAACTCGACAGGCCCAGTCAGCACATCTCTTCCTCGTTGACCTTGAAAAATGTCGAATACCCCTCTACCAAAACTCGTTTGTCTATAGAACGGCGAAGCTTTGGAATTTTTAGCCAATGGAAGTATTCCCAAAAACTTATAATCTTCAAAAGTTCAAAAAGAATTCCAACACCTTTCTCCTCTCCCTATCCTCTCTAGGTACTCACGATATTCCACGAACATTATAGCAATTTCCTTTCGTGCGCTCCAAGAGATAAAAAAGAGTTTTCCAAATTCAAGATGTTCAAATTTTGTTTTAGGAATCACAGAAGTTGTTTAAATGTTTAAGCCATCCATAAGGAAGATTATTATTAAGTAGTATTATGTTGAATTGTCCCATAACTTGGATGACCGTTATTTCAAAAATTGTCCATCGTATTTCGCTGAAATTTGGTAATGGGGTATGAATATTGGGACTTTCCAAGATCCAGAGCTCCCTATGCAAGCTTTCATTCTGGGACAAATATGTCAGCTTAGATTCGAATTATGATCTTTTTTCTATTGAACAGGTAATACGAAGAAGATTTGTAGCATTGAATATATGAAGGAAAAAGTGATCACATTGAACCCCCCTGTAGGGGGCGAAAAAACTCTTCTTGAGTTATTGTTAAGAATATACATTTTTATGTCTCAACTTTGTACCTACCTGTCAAGCGTTGTCGCGATCAAATTTTGCAACACCCTGTAGTATTATTCGAGCTTTCTTGTGGGTATTGGTATTGGCAGGAAGGTATTTTTCATTATATGAGTATGAAGCCCACAAAAATTCTCCATGGAAAATTTTTCCCAACTTATTTTTCTGAATTATTTGTTGTTGTTGAGGCTTAAACCCTGTATATAGAAGACTGTGTATTGAAATAAATAAATAAGTGAACTCGAAATGATTGAATTGAACCTCGAATAATACGGGATTAATGATTAGAATATTCAACATTGTATATCCAACAAACTTTTGTGAATACTAACATTTTTTCACAAACAATGTGATTAACTTTTAATGAAGGGACCTTCGTATTCAAAATCGGATTAAAAGCGATTATCTTCGACAAATCTCTCTTATTAGCAATGTCTCA